TGTTCCAACTGAAACTAAAAACTGCCGTTACCCTACGTGTCACCTGTCCAGATGAGAAAAACAAGGGACTGCGAACTGTACTGGCCCCCTTGATTTTGAAACGTTCAAAGAAATGTTCGAAAGGACTAGAACTTAAGCTAGCCTCTCTCTTAACCGAATTGCATCCAGTATGCTGTCGTGCCCATCCTACCAAACCATGGCTGGCTATCGGCTTGGTCAGTGGACAAGGTAAGTCCGATTCTACCGACAACACCCTGACCATCCTTGTTCAATTTTTCCACACAACTTTAGCGTACTGAACGGTACAATAAATTGAGACCCAGCCGCTTTTGCTCATTGTTCGCCAATGGCAATTCGTCGTCAAAACCGTAAGGTTTGTAACAGAGAACCGCTTAATACAGTAGTAACAGATTTGAATTGTTGGACTATAATTCACACGCATCTCAATCCAGATTGTGTGCTAAAAAATCACAGCACAATAACCTGTATGGAAATGAAAAAGCCCCATGGTTTGTTTGTGGGCGGATTTGTGCTCGATTGATTCGTCCAAAGCGAGTGAACTTTCGCAGAGCGTTCACAATCGGAGCCTCCGGCTATCCTGACCGGCAAGGCAGTGAGGCGGTATGTGAAAACCGCAATCCATTAGGGACCAGTGCCCAGTTCATCGGATCATGCGCCCTTCGAACGAGGTCGAACGTCCAAAGTGCCCAATCGAACCGATGACCACTGTCACAACCAGCCCCCCGCCCTAGGTGAACTGTCAGTGGTTTACCGGCTCAGTTATAGCCCCGGACTTGGTACTAGATAATAACAGCAATGATTCCAGTCGCAAAACCAAATCACTAGATCTTCATTTAGAAACCCTGTTCAAGTGGTGAGCAGTAACTCTCAGATTCTCCTCACTAACTTGTGCGAACTTGGCCCTGATTCGTTTTCTTGCTAATCAGCGCGGTCAAAGATGCAATCACCGAAGATTCCCCTAGGAATATCAAAAGCCAAACAGTATAGCGAACAAGCTTGTTTTCGTAACTTCGTCTTCAGGCCTTTACTGTTGTGTGCATGTTTATATCTCATGTAGAAATAAATGTGATTGGACCATAGAGGTTATGTATGAAAATGCAACAACATCTATCAAGTTTAATCGGAACGAGTGGATAAAATGGGGGCAGTGGGCGAAGAGGAGGAGGTCAATTCTGGAATTTTCGGTGACCTTTTTCATGTGCCATTTGTCACGCCATTAAAAAAAACAAGGTCTTCTACCTCGATTCAATGAACGCATAAACCGGTTGCGATCATTTTTCTCATTTGCCAGCTGCATCTCATTTAACAGATGATTTGCAGAAGAATTTTCTGCACGTATGCACTAAACACGATTCAGTTTTATCATTTTCAGACACCCTTGTCGCTGCGGACTTTGGTTGTGTGTGAAGAGTCCCTTGTGTTCTGTAGCGGTTTACTCGGTTTAAGGATAAAACAGACTATCAGTGTTCAAACAGAGACAGCTATCTGCTTCGCAATGCTTAATCTATTAAGACAACCGGATAGCTAGTGCCAAGGTTAGATAAAAGGTATTAGGCAGTCGTGATCATGTACTAGTGCAGCTACGTGAGCTCCGTAAATTTAGTATGGCTGTTGCATGTGTGGCGTATAGCACTGGATAAGTTTCCTTTGTATGCGTTTTGGCCAAGGTTTCGGTGGTCAAAATAAAGCCCTTCATGAGAATACGATAATTCTGACCGCGTCTTTCGATCACGTAAGTCCTCTTAGGCGTCATGGTTAGGGACTTCGTGACCAACCTAATCGATGTTTTGATATATTCGGTGATTCGGTTAAATTGTATGAATCGTGATACTTGTGATTCTGTTTCCCTTCCCACTTGCTGGTTGTATCCTTACTTTGGTTAACTTCGTACTTTAACCTCTTCCATATAATTTTTCCCTTGTAACTGATCAAATGGATAGCCGTAACACAGCCATTGAAACGTCACACCGAGACTGTGAAAACTAAATATCTTTCCTAAAAGGCTAAATTCTAATCTGTGCAATACGAACTACTAATGTTGCGCATTTTTTCTTCATTTCTTTTTCAGCAACGATACTTCAAATCGAGCATTCTATGGGCAAGAAAATTTCATTTTGTCCCATTTACACCTTACCCCAGATCAGCGCACATCCACTCTGTGATCGACGTGCCAGTCATAGGGGTGGAACCAATCGACGGCACTCCAATGTACAAACTGTTGGTTCTGGCACCTGTCCGGCGACCACCACAAAACTGCTCACTTTGGAATTTTTACCCTCCGTTCATAGCACTGCATATTCAGAGGTTAGACTGGTTGGTCTGGTAGAGACGATCATAGGCCGCGAACGTGGTAGACGTGATTTGATTGTCTACGGAACTTCTCCTGGTGCATCTCACCAGGTTAGTCAACTTGTGTTATTTTTTTCTTTCCGTTGATTGCAATGTGTATTGGATCTGGAAATGATATTTTTTATGTGTATCATTCTATATCCGGATATATGAAATTCGAGACAAAACTGCAAGCATTAACAGACTAGTTAGACTTGTTATTCCTTCCATAACCGGTGTGGATTTTCCTTTCGTAGCGCGAAACCTTGCTGTGAGTGTCGACCACTGCTTTGAAGCTCGATGATCTAGAATTGATTATGGTCGATTACTTTTCCTATTTGGGCGTTTGTGTGATGAACAACAGTTGTACACTGAGTGATGTGACCCCAAACGCATCTGAGGCCGAATCGTCGCACGCTAAACTGAAACATCTGTAATGTCGCCAAGCCGATTCGCTGGAGTCTAAATGTCGGATATAATGTGTCGCAATGCTTCACATTCTGTTGTACACATATTAGCTCTTAGTTTGATAGAGGTTATCCATCAAGTGAGTATTTACGGCAGCCCATTTATTTCGCACCAGCTTGGGAAACAGTATTGTCTTAAGGCAGCAGTATTAGTAGTAAAAATGGTAAATTAGGATACAAACGCGAGAGTTGGTAAGATAGTAAAATATATCTTTTATTCCATCTAGTTTGCAGTCCGTGAGGTGGTAGGTCGAAAAGACTAAAAGTGAGTTCTTCGAGGCGATGACTACTTACCTTACGCGAACCTTTGATTTTCACTGCACACGACCTACCGTCGACTGCTTTCCGCTCGAGCACAGTGACCTCNTGACCTCAGCTGTCTCACACGGATGGCCACGGTAACTCCAGCGAGATCAGAATATGCAGCTTCAGGGCCTCTAGAAAGGCACAATTGAAACCACCGGGTATGCTCAAACGAGAACTTCAGTCTTATGCTACAATTGTAGTCTCGAATCCGAATCTCTTGGAAAAAATGCACATCGATAACTGGGACCTTGAGCATACGGTATAGACATGCCTGTTATCCTGTATACGCTTGCACAGTAGGGATGAAACGCAAAGAGTAGTAACACTACAGTTCCTCGGTGGAAAAGCGGTTACCCCACCAAATTCCACAGTGCCTGTCAGTCTACGACACTGCATCCTGTTAAGAGCCTCCCATCTCGGGTTGTGGTTAACCGGTGACGTAGAATGGGAGTAACGGGAACTCTATTAAGGGATATGATGGTCAAAATGTCTCCGATCTTCCACAACTGCCTCGGTTAGGCTCTGTTTGTGATTAGTTCAATACATTCAAAACATTATAAACCAGCATTAGCGTTCCTTTAGTCGGATTCTATCGTGAGTGTAACCTCTATGAAAGAAGTACCTTGTATTGCAATACCATAGACAAGAATGATGGGTTTGTGCTATTGACCTCGTTGTTGAAGCTACTCACTACCAGGGTGTAATGGAATGTGTCAATTTAAAACTTTTATGAGTTTACAGCCGTGGATATCATAGTAAAAGAATCTGTGTAGTAAAAAAAGCAGTTTCACGTCATCCGATTGTCCAAACGAAACGCCCAGTGTCACAACCTAATGTGATCGGTTTTCCACCCACATTCTCTGAACATTGATCCACGCGTGTGCTTATTCTGTTATGTGCACCGTGCCGCATTTTACCATCCACCTTTCAGGTGCGTGATTCTGACCCAGTTCAATTTGTGTAAACAAGCTCAGGGTTGCACTGACGTCTAGAATCGCCTGTCCCACACATCACCCTCCCAAAACTCTATCTTTCGGTAGCGGTATTGCCAAATAGCTTTGCTCCATGCCAGCATCTCGTGATTTGATGAGGATTGTGCAGAAGAAAACTGTGTTGGAGTGTTTGCGATATCTAGGTCATACACAGTCTGATGGTGCTGCGTTGGATGATTATGATAACATTTCTCATGTGTTATTTATCTTTGGACATCGATCACATCTCTTCAATCTGATAAAGGTCGAGGGATGCGGGTTCAGTGTTGGTATTGGAGTTGAAAAAACTTCTGCTTTTGCTATAGGACAGCGAACAGATGCCAATCAAATGGTAGGAATCAATAATCCTACCGATTTACCGGAATACAATTAGGTTATCTTGTGAAAACCCTACAAGAATTTGTTAAATCATCATTCCTTCCAAACTTCTCGCTGGGATCATATTTCGTCGATTGTCTGCCGCACGTGAATAGTGCACGCCTGAGAGCCAGGCTGGTCGAGG